AACCTCTGTTCAGGGTCCATTCTGTGTGGACATGCTAGTTCGAATTAGCAAAGCTAATTCGAACTAGTTTTTAAGTCTAGCTGCGCTAATTCGAATTAGCTTAGTTTGAATTAATTAAGTTAGTTCGAATTAGCGCTGTAGTGTAGACATACCCTGATTTATCATTTAAGAGTAATCTCCTAACAAATACCATTTAAAACACATAAATATTTACTATGTAATTTGGATTTTAAAAATTATTAAAAAACCATTCCCACAATTTAATTTAATTTAATTTAATTTCATAACTTCTGACTGATCCCAGTTAAAATATTTAAATCCCATCAATCCAATGCAAAACGTGCTAACCCAGAATTATGTGCTCCTGTTCGAGTTCATTTTCCAGGTGTGTTTCATATATATTTCATATACATGGCAAGTCCAATAGACTGTTAAAATAGTTCATAGTGCTGCACTTAAATTAGCAACCACCTCTCAAGACCAAACTGATAAAAGAAACAGTTAAAAAACAGAGAGGAAGTAGAGAATCAATCTCTTAAGTAGAGAATCAATCCAAAATAGAGAGGTTTTTTTACATGTATTTAAAATTCCAAAATAATGAGATGGAGGGTCAGATGCTCATTTCAACTGCAGTTAGATTAAAACTGCTTCAGGTTAATAATTGCTTTATTGAGACCAAACATCAAGGATGAATCTCAGAGAAGAATAGCAGTATCTTTTGTTTTCAAAGGCAGATCCTTAGCTACAATTTAAGGGCTTTCCCCTAAAAGTTATCAAGCTCCGCTCCACCAAAACATTTGAAGAGATGCTAACAGTTAATCACGTGCTTCAGTGTGTTGCTGGATGAGAGCCTGAGTACTCAGACCCTTCTGGATCAAACCCTAACTGCAATGAAAGCCATACAACTAAGCGGCATGATGACACAGAATTGCATACAATTATGATTTAATAAAAAGATGGATATTGTTTTCTCCACAGACTATTCTTCATTTGTCTTGCTTACTTAAAACCAGTTCCTTACTTTTTTATCGGTATCTGAAAAACAACATAAATGATTAATGTTCTGAAATTAAAATTCATACCTTGAGAGCCTGGAAATCCTTCTTTTCCTTGTAAACCAGGTGTGCCAGGTAAACCTGGCACACCTGGTGGCCCACCCTGGCCAGAGCTACCCTTCTCTCCTTTTGGTCCTGGCATATCTAGTCCAGGAAGACCCGGGTAGCCCTTCTCTCCCTTAGTTCCAGGAAATCCTACAGGGAAAAAAATAACTCTTAATATAGTACACAGGAAATTATCAATCAAATTACAGTATAAAGTACTAATATATTCTATAAATTGTGCATCTTAAAGAAATGTGCTTTGTTTTCTGTATTAGTGGAAGGCATACAAAGTGAAAAAATCCTCATAATCTAAGTGCTTCGATCTTATCCATTTCTATTTTTAATCTGCAGCAATGGAGCAAAGATATATAGAGCATCAGTGGGCATGTGCAGCCTCAGGAAACTGTGCATCAACCTGCAGTTTTAAGTCACAGAGATGAAGCCTAACAACGTTCTGGTTTTCTAGTGATTCTGATCCATGACGTTTACATTTCTGAAAGGCTGGAAAATACTATAAAAGAAGCCCACCACTTTCCCCCGTACTGATGTCCCATAAGAGCCATGAAATCTATTCCAGATATAAAGGAAAAAGGAAAAACACACAAAACCACCAAGTAGTTTGTATCACCTGATAGTCCCTGAGGCCCTGGTCCACCTGCAGGCCCCGGAGGCCCTGGAGGGCCTATTCCTGGCACACCTGGGGCACCTTGTGGACCTGGTAATCCAGCGGAACCTGGGTCACCTACACACAAAATAAACATAACCCGATTATTCTGTTATATTCATTGTTTAGCTTGCTTGGCAGAGATAGTTGATAGCTACTTTGAACAACACTCAGCCCCATACAAAGGGCTGGCTGAAGGCCTATGCTTCACTTAAGTCATTAGTGTTTCCTTCATGGATGTTCCAGAAAAGTAAGGTGGAGAGCCAGTATTGTCCCCCTAGCAGGTGGGCAGGAGGGAGACAGAGAGGAAAAGAAATGGATATTATATCTTGAATTGTAAGTGGTGCTCAGGTCTTTGGCTGGCTTTCTGCCCATGTGTGTATTTCAACCAGTAAGAGTCATTTTTAAAAAGTGTAAAATATGTTACTACAGGATGAACCTCATAAATCTGGGACTCTCTGGTCTGGCAACATCCATGGTCCAGCAGATGTACCTGGACCAATGAGCCTGGGAGGCCAGGAGTGGGAGCCAGCTGGGAGAACGTAAGGCTCGGGAGTCCCGTCTGGTTCAGTAGTGGCTGGGCCAGGCGGTGGCTGTGGCGCCCCAGCCAGGCTAGGAGGTGTGGTTGGAGGTGTGGGGAGCCGCAACCTGGCCAGGAACAGCTGGGCTAGGTATCAGTTTGAGAGCCCCTGGCCCGGCTGGAGAACCTTTGACAGAAGCAGGGCCAGATGAGACTTGGCCAGAGAGCCTCAGGGAACCCCCAGTGGCAGTAGGGTCATCAGCAGCCCGGCAGTCTCGGCCAGAATGTCGGAGAACTCTAGTGGCTGCAAGTGGGCAGCAGGGTGGGAGAGTCATTATACAAGGCACTGGTGAGACCCCATTTGGAATACTGTGTGCAGTTCTGGTCTCCCGTGTTTAAGAAGGATGAATTCAAACTGGAACAGGTACAAAGAAGGGCCACTAGGATGATCCGATGAATGGAAAACCTGTCTTATGAAAGGAGACTAAAGGAGCTTGGCTTGTTTACCTTAACCAAAAGAAGGCTGAGGGGAGATATGATTGCTCTCTTTAAATATATTAGAGGGATAAATACCAGGGAGGGAGAGGAATTATTTAAGGTTAATACCAATGTGGACACAAGAACAAATGGATATAAGCTGGCTAGTAGGAAGTTTAGACTCGAAATTAGGCAAAGGTTTCTAACCATTAGAGGAGTGAAGTTCTGGAACAGCCTTCTAAGGGAAGTAGTGGGGGCAAAAGACCTATCTGGCTTCAAGATTAAGCTAGATGGGTTTATGAAGGGGATGGTTTGATGGGATAACATGATCTTGGTAACTAATTGACCTTTCACTATCAGTGGTAAATAGGCCAATGGTGGGATGATAGGAGTTACTATAGAGAACTTTTTCCTGGGTATCTGGCTGAGATATAGGTGAGAGGATTATTCTAGTAGTGGGTGGGTGAGATTCTGTGGCCTGCATTGTGCAGGGGGTCAGACTAGATGATCATAATGGTCCCTTCTGACCTTAAAGTCTATGAGTCAGCTTTGGGAGCTCCAGGGGGAGGAGCGTGGGAGCGGGGCAGCCAGCATGAGAGCATTGACCTCCCCAGGTCCTGAGGGTGCCCAACCCGGGAGATCCAACCTGTAGTAATGAGCTATCACTTCTTTTTTTAAATTACCTTGGATTCCTGGTTGACCAGGTACACCTGAAAATCCTTGCTCTCCTCGTAAGCCAGGCAAACCAGCATTTCCTTTTTCTCCAGGGATGCCAGAGGGACCCTGTGGGCCTGGCAGTCCTTTAGGACCTGGGAGACCTACTCCAGGTTCACCCTTAAGGTGCAACAAAATATAAATTAGGAGTCAATAAATCAAGTGTTTTTAAACATAGCTATTTGGAGGCAGAACATCAGACCAGCCTTCTCTGAGTATATGCTAAGTTACACTAAATGCAGAGTTGGACTACTATCTTAAGGCCAGCAACTGCTCCATATTGTTGGTAATACAAATAGAAATGGAGGGAGGGAAACAATATAAACTGCAAACACTCACTTTTTGACCAGGTAAACCTGGTGTGCCTGGTAAACCATCAAAGCCAGGATTCCCTTTTGCCCCGGGCTGACCTGATGCACCCGGCTGACCCGGAAAACCTACCAAACAAAAACACATAATCAGCACCTCAGTAAGTTAGCCCCCAAATGTCTTCTGCCTTTTAAATCAACTATTCACAGCCACAGAGAAGTATTAAACAGGGTCAAATTTGTGAGGGGCTGAGCATCTCCTATGAGGGCTATACATTCCCAAACCTCAGTGATTTCAATCGAGTTTAGGGTGCTCAGCAACTTGCAGGATTTTGTCTTGGATGAATGAAGTTGTACATATTTTCAAATTAATATTTGTGCACAGGTTCACCTCATTTAAAAAAAAGAGATCTTCTTCAAGGGAAAAATGTAATATAACTTTCCTGAACTTTTGTAAGTCATTTAAATAGACCTCATACAGCACTGGTATGCTCTGCATAATCATAAATGCCTCTCCTTTTCCATGCAAAGACCCCTGGAAGCTAGATTCAGCTTTCAGGCACAGTCCCTGTCAAGGGGTGGTACATGGCTGTGCTGCCAAAGGAGGGATTCGGGGAAGGAGTTGCAACTATGGGACATAATTCATTTCTTGCTCCTTACTCGTAGGATAAAGTAATTTACTGCAGCCCTTTAATGGATGCAGCTTATTTCCTTATATGAAGATCCACAAATTAAGGAGTCAGACTTGGAACCAAACCCCAGAGCAATCCCCTCAATTTTAGAACTCCTGTGATGCTGGAAGACCAGGTCCCAGCTCATGCCACTTATAATATCTCTGGCCCATGTTATAGAACAATACTTAAGTGTTTGCTTTGTAACTGTGGAAGTGTTTGCTCTGAAGCGGTAGATGCCTCCAGTCAGCATTACCAAGTATGAATACTGCTTTATCACAGGAGATGTGATCTCCTGTCCAACAAAGTAGTGTTCATAGACATTAGACAAAACCATTGTGGAACATCAGAGGACAAAATACCTTCTTGCTTGCTCCCCCCACCCACTCCCCCGGGGCCATGAAGCAGAGCCAATTTGAACTCCAAGGGATGGGAACAAAATCACTATGCTGCTTGGACTTTGAGTGGGCAAGATTTTTAAGGCTAAGTAACGGATCCCCAGCCATTTAGCCTAAGTTAGCCCTAAGGGCATAAAGAGCTTGCTTATTATAGAAGCTTCTATCAATCTTTTTGAAACCTATGGCTGTAAGTCATTTGTGTGTGTATGTTTGCTTGCTTTAACCTTGTGAATAACTCTCCCATTTCTTTGTCTTGGCTAATAGATCTTTAGAGTTAATTTTTATAGGATTGGTTATAAATGTTGTCTTCAGTGTGGGGTCTAATGTGTAACTGACATGGGTTAAGTGATCAGTCCTTTGGGACTGGAAGTAAACTGAACATGGTTGTGATTTTTGGTGTAAGGAACCAGTAGTTCTCAAAATTGAATTGACGATCCCTTTCACACAGGAAGCCTCTGAGCGTATCTCCCTCTTATAAATTAAAAAAAACCTTTTTAATATGTTTAATACTATTATAAATATTGGAAGCAAAGAGGGGTTTGGGATAGGAATGTGAAGGACTAGTCAACTGGTCGCTCCCCCCTCCCCTTTGCCTCTATCAGAAAGAGGCAGCAAAGGATGGGGGAGAAGAAGGGGTACTTCAAAGCGGCAGCACCGCGTGGAGCCTGGGGTCAGCGGGGAAGTCCCCTGCTAATCCTGGGCTCCACATGGCGCTTTTGCCTTTGAAGTGTATCAACAGTCCTAGGACTGCTGCTACACTTCAAAGGCGAAGGCGGCCTATTGACTATTTGATTAGTTAATTATTCGATACTTAACATCCTTAGTTTGGGGGTGGATGTTGATACCTCATGATACCACACACACACATAATAACATTGTGTGTCCTGCAGGATCACAACCCTCCAGTTTGAGAACTCCTGATCTATCAAAAATGCAAGTTTGTGTGGATGACAAGATAGACTGGAGTACCCAAGGGGAGTGTCTGTGACTCCATGTTTATGCTGTTGTAGTGTCTGAGGAGTCCATATCAGGGATGTGAATGGGTAACCCTCTTCCCCCTGAGTTGCTGTTGTCCATCGTGGGGTCAGAAGCAGCAGGCCTGGAGCAGCCCCTGCCTGCAGCCTGCCCTGTTTAATCAGTTAACAGTTGTTAACTGGTTAAACTTAGTGTTTAACTAGTTAACTAATTCTATGGGATTTTACATCCCTAGTCCATATTTGATACTTGGTCGAAGGAATCTGTGCATGGAACTCACAGCCAATTTCAAGGTGTGCCCAGCTTCTTAACACTCTATCCTTTAGTCACTCCAGATAACCTGACTACTCCTTCCAACCCACCTGGTATTCAGATAACAGATTCATAATAAAAGAAGCAAAAAATGCAAATGTACTCAGGGATTTGAGTAAAGGGGGATTACTTGCCCTTACTCCCTGCCATGGCTATACAGCGCTGGCTCACAATCTAGCTCTGAAAGAGTGACAGCAGGGCTATGAAGTATATCTTCCGCACGTTAGATGAAAAAAATCAAAATATGAACATTTAGTTCCCAAGAGACTTACGTATATGGCCAAGAATTCATAACTGCTAGTTTTCTTACCTTTTGGGCCAGTTGGCCCAGGGAACCCTACTCCTGGCTGCCCAGTAGCACCTTTTTCTCCTGAAAGTCCAGGTCTTCCTGGAATCCCAGGATCCCCCCTGTCACCTTCGAAAACAAGACAGACAGAGCACATAAAGCACGAATGCAAAAACCAGCATTGGTTGGTGGGAAATCCATTAATAGCAGCAAAGAGAAAATCCAAAGGATAATTGTACCTTGGCCTCCGGGGAAGCCACGTGGCCCTGGGAGGCCATCTGACCCTGGGGGACCAGGCAGAGGAATGATTTGTCCTGCTTCTCCCTTTAGCCCTAGGAAGGCAAAGATGACAAATCAAGATTTACAAATGAAAAGGCAAATGTATTAACATGTGGTGGGGTGGGGAGGTGTAAACAGGGGCGGATATAGGGCAGGGCGAGCGGGGCAGCCACCCCGGGCCCCGCGCTTCAAGAAGCCCCGCGCATGTGCCGTGGCAAAGGGGGAGCCCCATGAAATTGTGCTACCCTGGGCCCCACGAAATGGTCATCTGCCCCGGGTGTAAATATTCTGTGGTGCTAGTGAAGATGCCCATTGGCTTTGATTTTCATGGTTTTACTACTCATCTGTAATGCACTGACTGGAAGAGGGAAAAGGCCCAAGCATGAAAGATAGGCATGGCATTGGAAGAATTCTGGCTGTTATTCTGACTGCCACAAATCTGCTCCTGCCATGTGAACCCACCAAGACCCAGAGCCACAGGCCCACCAAACTCAGCTCTGGTCTACACTGGGGAGTTTTTTAATCCCCCTTCTTTTGAAATAACATGTGGAGGATCCACACGACCAAGCCCGTTACTGTCAAATAATGGGCTGGTTATTTTGAAATCTGTACTCCTGCCCTCCTCGGGGAATGACGCTTATTTCAAAATTGTTATTTCAAAATAGTGTTAGTGTGGATGCTCTGCTGCTGCCAATCTGAAATAAATGGCCTCCAGAAGATTCTCACAGCTGAACTTGTGGCCACTTTGGCCACACCTGCCAACTCCACTGCTCCCCTTCTCCTACAGAGCTTAAAATAAGGCTGCAGGAGAAGGGTTTGTGGCACGTGGCCCGCTTGGCAAGCCCCGTGCCAAACAGCAGGAGCCAGCAGAGCCATGGGCAGACCCCAATGCTCCCTCTGAGCCTCTCCTGTCTGTCAGTACTCCTACAATACCTTCAGCTGCCACTGGCCAGGGTCGAGGATCTCTGCATCAGAAAGCAGAATGCTGACGAGTACGGCCAGATGGCCACCAGCCTGGCTGACAAAGGCTATAACCGGACCCTTAACCTGGTCCACATGGAGGTGAAGGAGCTATGGCGGCCAGGAAGGCCAGGAGGCAGAGCGGAGGCTCCCAAGTGGCTACCACACGTGCCGCTACCAGGGTTCCCTCTAAGGTGCGCACCTATATGGGCGCGCAACAAATATGTGAGGCCAGCCCATCCCCCCAGCAGAGCCATGCAGTGGCTGCTCGGCTGCTCTAGGTCGGGGTCAGCTGCCCCACCCCAAAGCAGCAGGGCAACCACCATGCAGTCATGGCCCTAGCTTCAGCCCTTCCCCAGGACTGGAGCAGGCTACATGACTGCTCCAGCAGCCCCAGCTGGAGCCCCATGACGGGTGGCCCACAGCTGTTCTGGCAGCCCCAGCCAGGGCCTGGACCAGGGCCAGGGCCAGGGCAAAGGCCAGGTTTTGTGACCTGTGAAGGGGGAGGCAGTGGGGAAGTAGCGTGTAGAGAGGAGCCCCTGAAAGCACATGTTGCAGCTTAGCGCCCCCAGCAGCCACAAGAAGTGTCCATCCTCCTGGTGCCCTCCCCAGAGTGCTTCCGGGGGGGCTCTAAGACTGAGGCAGGCTTCAGTCAATGAGGACATGCTATTTTTAAATAATTCTGACTAATTTCAATGCTCCCCCATTATTTTGATGTATCTTATTTCAAATTTACATCCTAGTGCAGACATGCTCTCAGAGAGCTACACTGTGACTTAAAGGATATGCCCATGGAAAGGAGTAAGGAATGTTTTGTGTACGAAATCCCCTTACAACACGGTGCAGGTTAATCAGATGTTGGTTTGGGGAAGATAGTAGGTAAGGAGTAGCTGGAAATGGACAGATGCTTGCCTGAAAATATCCTTACTCTCAGGCCAGTACATTTTAGGGCCAGATGCTGATACCCTCACTCACACTAAGAACTTCAGTAGGACTTCTTGTGAGGGAGGATATCAAGGTATGGACCAGTAGCAAATTACTCACCCTCAGGATCAAGAAGGAGCAGGATAGGAATAGTGACTCTGAAGGGCAAAAATCACAGCTCATGCAGCTTCTCCTGGGATGGGGCAGTGTATTACAGTAACCCTTGCATAGGCCTGTGCCCAATGTCTGATAACATCATTCAGGTACATTTCTTACTTCTGAAAGGATGGGGCTGATTTTGTGGCATGGGACTGGTAATGTTAGGGAGTAGTGACCTTTCTGCTTTGTTCTGTGAGACTCTGTAAGAAACTATCTGCAAGTATTCAGGGTGACAAAGTATACTGTAAGAAGCACATACTGGTGACCTAATATGCCCCATCTATCTCAAGTTTCCTATAGCACCTATGTATCTGTGAAAACCATCATTTTTAGCTAGTGTGTTACCTGGAAGGCCTGGTACACCTGGGTTTCCTGGAAAGCCTCTATCTCCTTTGTCGCCAGCTGGCCCAGCAGGCCCTATCCCTGGAAGGCCAGGCTGGCCTCTTTCACCACGTACTCCAGGAAATCCACCTGAGCCAGGGGGACCACGTTCTCCTTTAAGTCCAATCGTACCCTGATTTTAGGAGAAAAGCAATAATATTTACTGCACTTCTCACCCTGCTAATTCTTTACAAGTGATAGCTTGATGCTCGTTGTCAGATTTGTGTGTGATTTTGTGGCTTCAGACTGGATTCACGACAAACTGCTCTTTGGGACCTAGTCTGCATCACTGAAGTGAATGGGCATTTTACCAGTGACTTCCCTGGAAGCAGGATTGGGTCTGGAGCAGCACTTGCTGAATGCAATAAAGTGGCTATTTAATGACCAGTTCTGTGATGAATACACCATCATTTCCAGCTAGATTTAAATAATTTGAATGTTAATTTATAGAGTCCCATAGTAAGCATAACAAAATAGTAACTGACTTGGAGAAAGGATCTGGATTTTAGAAATATTCCCCATCCCCAAGGATTTCAGAAATTCAGAAAACCAATTTTGGGAGTGATTATTATTATTTAGAATAGGAAGTTCTGCGCCAAATGCCTCAAATATAAAGCATAAGTGGGATACTCATAACCATTTTTCCTCTTTCAGATTCTCTGAAATTGGTTTGCTGGTTCTTATTCTAGATAATACTTTGAGTAGGGATGGCACAGAGTAGGAGACAGCTACCTGTCCATCAGGTGCATTTATGAGACAAAACAAGATTAGTAAAATAATAAATTTAAACTAAAGAATATGTCAAATGCCTCTGACAGATATTTTCTAACAGGTAAAAAGATTATGGAATTCAAACTCCCAAGAAGAGCAAGGACAGATCTAGCAACAGATATTGGAACTGGTTGCTGTGAAAAGGAGCGTGATCTCTCCACGTGACTTGATTAGAAGATGAAACATCCCTTGAACAATGGGCTACATTCTAACTATCAGCAGAGCCCTTACCAAAATATTGTGGGTAAAGCTGCACCTGTTCAGGATAAACCTTGGGAGACACTGTGATTTAGAGACACAGTTCTGAGTCACAGTGTCTCCCCTACTTTCTCCGTGACCCCAGAGATAGTAATATATTGCTGGTCAACAACTGACCCCCATGATCTTGCCAGCATTTATTTGGGGATGGGAAATGGAAACAGCTCTGACCATTTACCACAATTCTGTAGAGGAAGCAATAGGGTAAGTAGGCCGTCTTATTCCCACACCATCTAGGGTCATGTCTATACTTGACACTGACAGTCAATCTTCTGGTGTTTGATTTAGCGGGTCTAGTAAGGACCCGCTAAATCAAATGCTGAGAGTGCCCCAATTGGCGCTGATACTACTACTCCTCGCGAGGAGTAAGGGAAGTCGACAGATTGGCGCTGATACTACTACTCCTCGAGGAGTAAGGGAAGTCGACAGGAGCATTTCTCCCATCAATCTCCCCTGTAGGGACAGTACCACAGACATGAAGATATGAATCAAGATACATCAACTCCAGATATACATTCAACGTAGGTGGAGTTGCATATCTTAATTTGAACTTCTACTTTAGTGTAGACCTGGACTAACACCTTTGTAGGTCATACATGGTGTTTTTACTCCCATGGCATATACTCAACTCAGTGACCCTTCTGTCTTGCTAATATTCTTAGCTGTTGAGTAGTACGGGCACTGTGTATGCTACTTCCTGCTTAGCAGTGCCACTGAAATCCTTCATTGAGGAAGAGGGTTCTGCTCAAATGAGTCTGGGTATAATAATTAGGCCCAAATAATGAGACAAGTAAACAAAAATTACATATTATACAACAATTACATATCATTAACAAACTACAAGATAATATGCAAAAATAAAGCTACATTCACTTACCGATGCCCCTTTAGTGCCCTGGAGACCTGGCTGGCCATTTCTTCCTGGCCTTCCTTCTCTTCCAGGAACGCCTGGTTGTCCTGGGAACCCAGGATCTCCTTTATCACCTTTGAGATTAGTATCAATATAAATGTCTCCAGGCTCTCCTTTTGCTCCTGGGCTACCAATCAATCCGCGCGTACCTGGAGGTCCCTGAAATTACACACAGTTCCAGCACCATTCAATGACTATATAATACATTATTTTCCCTACCCTTTACATTCTTTTCAAATGTAAAGAAAAAAACCCAAATGTTTATCCCAGATATTGAATTGTAAGCAAAAAGAGTGGATTTGCAGGGACTGAGAATGCTAAATATCCAATAATGGCTCTCGTAAAAAACTTTTCTATCTTGGGTTTCTTACTAGCTTCTGATAGCACAGTTTGGTAATTGTGAATATTTGTATTAACTGTTTGAATAGGAAGTAAAGGCCATGTTATTGAAAATGGTACTCTAATTATTTAGATAATGGCCATAAAGATTCAGAGCTGACCTTTTACAAGGCCTCACTGTCACGATAATTTGGTCACTCTTAACACAGCCATTCCTCAAGTTATGGTGTGATAGCAAGAATATTATGATATTGTTTTAGATGTAAACAATTGTTTCTAATACTTCCACCTACTTGCTGTTACTTGAATCTCTGTTGTTTGTTAAATAAGCTTATACTTGTTTTCACTATAAGCAAATCTAAGTGCTGTGAATTCAGGAGAGTAGTGATCTCGAGACGAAACTGATTACACTGTGTATGCTACTCCTAAAGGAATGGAAATTTGTGAATTCTGTGAGTGTCCAGTGGACCAGGGGCAGGTCCTTCCAAGAAGACTCTCAGAGGGCTTGACAGTTGGACCGTGCCTGGCATTAACCTATAGAGAGAGCAGGGCCAAAATACACCTGGAGGAGCATGTTTGTGTTGAGCTGATGTGGCTGGGGAGCTGACCCTCAGAAGGCAAAAACAAGGCTAAGGGCACATAGTAGTGAGGTGTCTTACAAACTGGCATATCCCAGGAAGCATCGCAGGAGGATTTTTTTTGTTTGTTTAGAAGCTATTTCTCACTCTCTTTCTACCCCTAAATCAACAGGACTTCCCAGCCACAGTTTGTTACAGAAAGGCCAAATCAAGAGCTTTTATCTCTCAATGCCATTTCCCAGTTTAGTTTTCCATTTCTTTTTAATTACGTTTTTTTATTTTAAAAAATCAACAATACATTGAAAACCATTCTTATCCTAGTAGTATTCCCACAAACACACACTTTTCTCACAGATCCTAACATTGTCTACTAAATTCCATTTATCATGTATATAAGTCTAGTAAATGAAACAAGAGTAAAGGCTAATAATCACATTATGAATGCTCCATTCTTCCTGTTCACCTTGTCTTATTTGAGCTCTCCAGGGAAAATATAATTCCTGCCCTGAACAGTTTACCATCTAATGAACTAATTGTACTTGAACAGCTTCCACATATTCTTATAGCTGCCTACATATTATGCTGCACCAACATGTAACACTTTAATAGAAGAAGAACAGAGAGTCCTGTGGCACCTTAGGGACTAACAGATTTATTAGGGCATAAGCTAACGTGGTTTCATCAGATGAACTGGAGTGGACGTTTCAGAGGCAGGAGTGTGTATAAAAGCAACAACAACAACAAAAAGAAGTTACTTGTGTAAATAAGACCAATCAAATCAGGGTGGAAGTGGCTCATTCAGAGCAGCTGATGTGGAAGTATGGATATCAAAAGAGGGAAAATTGCCTGATCCTTATTTAATCCATCAAGTGCCAGCAATTTCCCTCTGCCATGTATATTGGACAAACCAGACAACCTCTATGCCAAAGGATAAATGGACACAAATCAGACATCAGGAATGGAACCATACATAAACCTGAAGGGGAACATTGTAACCTCTCTGGACATAAAATAATTTCAAAAACCAGTTACGAAGGGAGACAGCTGAACTGGAGTTCATTTGCAAATTCGATACTATCAACTTAAGACTGAATAAGGATCTTAACTGGCTAACACACTACAAAGACAATTTCCCCTCTCTTGATATCCACATTTCCAGATATACTGCTGCAAACTTTTATAAATGAGTCACTTCCATCTTGACTTAATTAGCCTCATTTACACAAAAACCCTCTTTCATTTGTTGTCCTTATATATACCTCTGCACCTGATTAAGTGGATTTTGCCCACAAAAGCTTATGCCCTAACAAATCTGTTAGTCTCTATGGCCTGGTCTACACTACACCAGGCAGGTTTGCTTAAGGTACGCCATCCAGCTACGCAAAATGTGTAGCTGGATTCAGCCTACCTTAAGCCGAGCTGCTGCAGCATCTATACTGCGAGAGGTCAATGGGAGCACACGCTCCCATCAGCCTTCCTTACTCCTCACAGAATGAGGCCTACAGGATGTCAGCAGGGGCTGCCCTCAGCATTCCATTTGTGGGTCTACACTAGACCTGCTAAATCAAATGCTAGAAGAGCGACCTCTGGACCTAATGTAGACGTACACTAAGTTGCCACGTTGATTTTGCAGACACAGACTAACATGGTTAGTTCTCTGAGGTCTTTCATGGAAGGATTTTCTTTATTTGAAAAAGAAAAATGAAAGGATCCAGTTACCAGGGAAGTTTAAGTTGAGTGAAAAATTCAAAGGGAAACTTCCTCTTGCTAATTAGAATACGCTGTGCTTCCACCCTTGGGTTCTGAAGTAGCACTCTTCTGAAATGAATGGGAGTCTTTCCTTTGAATGCACTGGACAGTGGATCAGGCATGTGAGCCTGCCAAGCTGGGCTCTGTCTAGCCTATCTAAGCTAAACTAAGAGCTAACTCACCAGCTGTTTAATGAACCTGTTTTTACTTTTCCAAGCAAAACAATGTTAAAAGCATCCAGGATACCAGCAAATCCTTGTTTGAAGAGAGGGGTGAAAGGAGACTAGAGGAGAAGGAAGAGATGTAAAGGTTCAGCAATATTCATAGTAAAAGCTTGTGCTCTGATATTCAAAAACTGATTCAAAATAGCAGAAAATCCATTTTGCTATTTCCTCCCCACAAATCCCATTTATATTACTGTAAATTAAGCATGATGATGTCCTTTGGTTTCCCATGAGGAATTTAAACACAAATAAAACATCACCAAAAAGACCTAGCGCTGGATAAATCAGGCCCAAAAAACTTTATATAAGCCCTAAGTTCACTCACATCTGGGATGAATTTGACCCCCAGTGTCAAAAATCTATATTATGATGCAGCAGTACTTAAAGCTAAATTATGAGTTGTGGCACTATTAAGATGCTATTTGCTTTTCTAACATTCCTTTATTCTTTCTAAATTATGTACTTTATTTTATAGCTATTTGAAAATTACTCTTGGTATAATATGTTGCATATTTTTTCTAGTTTAGACAAACTGCTAAAAGGTATAGCATACTAATTTTTAACAGTGAAAATATATTAGTTGGCACTATACTGTATATTCATGTAAACACACAATTGCAAATACTCATTATAAACCTCCTTTTCAATATGAAAAGAAAAGTCAGAACAAATCTGAATTTGATTCAAGAAAAGTCCTATTACATATCCAAATTTACCACACAGTTGACTAAGCCATAGAGTCAATTGTCTTTCTTAAGGTCATGCAGTGGCTAAAGTCCAAAGTTTCATAGCAACTCACTTTTACAAGATTTTTTTCTCCAATATCTAAACCACCTTGCCAGCGGATTTATTTTTAATACACATAACCAAACCTTTAGCATCAGTTAATGGGGCTACTACACAGTAGCACTGAGTGTCTCCTGTAACACTCCTAGGAGGAAAAATATGAAACATTTGAAAAACATTTACTTACAGGAAATCCTTCAGGACCATTGAGACCAGGAACACCCCTCTCTCCTTTGGCACCTGGCTGTCCTGGAAAGCCTTAAAAATAATATAAAAATAAAATAGTTACTACAGACACTTTTACATTATCGCTTATTGTGTTTTAGAAGCTTTGACGTCCTTCTCAAACAGAGCCCAATTCAGGCCCGTCGATACCCCTGGGTCTGGCAATTTAAAAGGGCCGGTGGTTCCTGGTGGCTGTCACCACTACCACAGCAACTTCAGGGGTCAGAGTCCCAGGGCCTTTAAATTGCTGTAGAGCCTCAGGCCGCATGTACCACATGCTGTAGGGCTGGCTGGGGGGAGGCTAACCCTCAGGTCCATCCCTTCCACCAGAGACGCCGTCCCTTTCGGGCGCCTGAAGCCACCCCACAACCACCTTGCTCGGGGCCTGGCAAAGCCTGTCGGCCACCCTACTTGTTAAACCCTTGCAACTCCACTGAAGATAGTGAAGTAGCCTGGGCATAATAAAGCTCAGGAACTAACTCACAATATATGTTAATGGGGGAAAGACACATAGCACACAACTCTAATACATAAGTTGGGCAGCATGCCCTGAATTCATCCCACCAACTGGAACTGCCATTTCCAGACTGTAATTCACTAAACCATCACAGAATTTTCATTCTTTCTCACCACCTCTCAATCACTTATACCAGTGGCCCCCAATGCAGTGCCCGCGGGCGCCATGGCGCCCGCTGGGGCATTTATATGCGCCTGCCGAAACATATGGGCTGGCCCCACCCCCGTCGTGCAACACATGCATGATGCCAGCCCTGGGCGCATGGCTCATGGGCAACCCCCACCCCTGGGCGCGCAGTGCATGTGTGGCTCCACCCCCGGAAGCGCGGCACGTGAGCGGCCCCGCCCCCGGACGCCTGGCACGTGAGCGGCCCCACCCCTGGGCACCCAGCAGCCAATAAAGGTCGGGGACCACTGATTTATACTGTGCACATACAATACAAAAGCACTGTTCATATGTACCCATTTTCTGACAGACAGCAATTATTTTCAAGACATTATTTCTGTTTCACAGCAGTAATCAATACTGGAGACCAGAGATGTACTGAGGGTCTAACATTAGGCCAGAGCACATAAAAATGCACAAAATAATTTCCCTGACACCTCTCTAACACCCTCATCATATATTGTTTGTAGAGCTATCACTTTCTAAGTTTACAGAGAGCTCTAATCAGAAAAGGTTGTTTTTTATCCAGCAGCTCTGCTGTACAGTTTTTTCATGGCAGCCTATGCGTCTGCCAAAATTTGACTCCATAAATAGAATTACTGGTAAAATCATTAAAATAGTGCCGAAAGTGGATTTAAAATAGTGCTAAAAATATTCTCATGCATATAATAATCTGTAAAATGGGAGGAGGGTTAAAATCACTTTAAAGGCAAGCTTTTTATTTTTCAAGAAAAAAAAAAGTTTTATTAAAGTTTCATTAAAATCATAGGTTTTGATAATACAAAAGGATCCTTGAAGCCTTCTCCAACACTATGATGCCCAGAGGATGGAAGAGAAGTCTTACTACCATTGAGAGATCTAGAATGCTGCATCAGGGCCAGCCATGATCTGGCGTTATTAACTCAATTCCATGTCAAATCTAAGTGCAGTGCAGAGCATATGTTATTTCTAGGTCACAGACTTCAACAGCAGGATGACTATGGTTAAGTCCTACTGTAACCAGTCAGGTCCCCACCACCAAGAAAAAGATTAATGAAGAAAAAATACTACATATAGATATTGGTTATTGGCAAGCCCTTTACAAATTCAGCTAGATCATTCATGAACCTTGTGAAAACACGAGTTAGGTCAAGCTATCAAAAGGGCTCAAAGTTGTCTGAGTTCTGCTTCTTGTGAAGTAAATAGTAAAACACTTGTTGACTTCAATGGAAGCAGAATTAGACCGTTAACGAGCATTATGGAAAATCCTGCTCTTTCATTATTTTCAGGAATGCTTCACTTAATGGAAATATATTAATTTATGACACACTCAGATGCAGAGTTGTGTTTCTAGTCTGCTTTATTTGTACTGGTTTTTGTTTTTACCTGGTGGACCCGGTGGTCCTTGTGGCCCTGGTTGTCCAGGAAGCCCAGCTCCATCACACAAGGCACAACCATCACCTTTATCACCTGCAGGGGAAAAAAAAAGACTTAAGAAGACTATAGGCAGATCCTTTAAGAAGAAAACAAACCCCATACATTGTTTGTTGAGTGAAAGTAAATTTGTCACTTTTAGCTACTTGCTTAAATTAGATTTTATGAGCAAATTTATTTAAAAAGTTAATTGCTTTTTTAAAAAAAACTTCAAATTTCTTTTCAGGTGTGACAGTACTGATGTGTAAAACTTTATGAATGGTTGGGGGAAAGGCAATCTGACCAATGAGGGAACAAACATGAAAACACGAACTAGTACCTATTTAAAAACTAAATTAGAGAGAAGGGAAAATATGAGGATCCTGGAACTCACACAAATTTTGTGGGTTTGGAAAAACAGTGAATGCAAAGAGATCTTGGGACCAAATTCTCCCCTGATGATTTCAGTTGTTGTTTTACACATTTATACCAGCCTTGCTAAAATCAAAAGAATTACATCTATTTGCATATTTCAGACCTTAGCTTTTCTCTTAACCAAAGAGAAGAAAGTGACCAGGAGGAGGAAAACATGGGATGATAAGGAGGAAGGAGACCTGCTCTGTAAGAAATGTAACATTTTATCCTTGAGAGAGAAATGAATTTGGCCATTTCAATGGATTTGAGAAAGCAAGATCATTATGGATCAGTGAGCAAAAGCAACTGGCACTACACACAGGGAAATGAAACTTGAATAAGAAAATTGTAGTTGAGAAGAGCACTGGAATAAAGACAGTCTCTCAGCAAAGTGCTGCAATTTTTCTAATTTTCTTTACTTCATCCTGGAAAATAACCACTGTACTATATAGAATGAATACAAGTTCTATTTCAATAGCTTTTTTGATGTGGTTGCTCAAAAACGCATTGGCTGAGCACACCCAACCACAGTGGAATACAAACAGAAGCCTCTAAATGCAACATACTGGTAAAATAATGGATGAAGGAAAGTAGAAGACACAGCTCTAGAGGGTTTGGCCAAAAAGCATGGCCCTAGGAGACCTCAACCTGAATTTGATTCGCTGTTGTACTATTCTATGTGAGTCTGGCTAACTGGTAAAAGAATACTTATGCTAGAGCATTTTAAAGTGGAATTTGTATTAGTTCTTTAAAGAAACTGATTTGAGTTCAGTCTCATGACTTTGCAAAAAGAAACACACAAAAAGCTCTACAACTTTTGCAATATTCTGTGAATCTTCTCTAATACAATGAAAGAATTAACTTCTGTTTCATGACTGAATACTGAAAGATTTATATTGTCTCATTCCTGGGGAGAAGCAGCAGCAGCTCAGTGTGTTACAGATCAGGCCTTTAGTCAACCAAACTCTGTGCTGACTTAACACTCTGTGCAACACTATCAATATCAACAGATTACATGTGAATCACTACAGAGACGGACATAACTCCAGCTTCCCTTTAAGAACTTTTAGTATTTTCTAAACATTTCAATACATATTGGGCTCAGATTGGGTTCAGGTGGCTAAGTCCCTGTTTTGGCATTCACTGCAATTTACGAAATTCCAGCTGAATCTAGTAAGTGCCTAAACTAATGCAGCATTTACATTTTTACAGTAAAAATTTCCCTTGGTTTCTGTCTCTGGGCATACACTCTGCTGCCTGCCTCTAGGTATTTCTTGCCTAAGCCTGGCAGCAATTTACAAATTGGAGAAGATAGATTTACATCTATCTAACATGCATGTTGGATAGGTGGCAGGGGTGAGCGGCAACAGGCAGAGAGAACTCAAACACAGGAGCATGAGAATGATTCTATAGTCTGGTGGTTAAAGCACTTGCCGAGAATGTAGGAGACCCAAAATCCGGCCCCTCTACTCAGATGACTAATCACTTACCCTCAATAGACCTGTTTCAACAGGAGAGACTGAGGCAGGCCTACTACCCCACCCAAGAAGGTGAATGTCTTTGCCAGAGAGGTGACAGAGCCCTCTTTAAATCCCTTCTCCTTAGTGGGCACAGGGGAGACTTAACCTAGAGGTTTCCCACATCCCAGGTGAGGACCCTAATGGGACTAAAAGTTACAAGGGAGACCCTTCCCCCATCTGTGTGGCTTTAAAAAACAACAAACCTCACCTCAGGCACCTAATGCCAAGAAAGGGCTCACATCTGAGAATAGCTAGAAAGACTGGTCCCCTACCTGAAGCTTGGATTTATGCATCTATCTAAGCAAACACCCTGCTCATTGGCACCTCTTGTTGGTAAGCTGAGGCAGTTCCCCATCTAGCTTAAATGCTTTTGTGGATCACATTCGAAGGCACCCAACTTTTCCCATTCGTTGTAGAGGAACCTACCACATAAATATGGCTTTGTGGACCGCAGCATTGTTCCAGTGTTTTAATGGGAATCTAAAAGTTAGGTGCCATGATGCTGAGCATCACAATGCTTAAACACCCTTTGTGAATCTTGGCCATGCCCACTACAACTTCTTTATTTTGCATACAAACTCATTTTTACTTTAATAATTCTATAATTGCTCCCTACTTCTTGACAATTATCCAATGCCATCTACAACAGAAGGTTAGGTGACTACCCAAGGGTATTTCCCTGGTGAGTTCATAAATCTGTAATCATTACATGTGGTCTCTTCCCCAATGCATGCTTGTTTATACCCTATCTTCAAATGATCCTATTTTGTCAATTAAGTCATGGTTGGAGCCTAAGAAAACTGCCATGGATTTTATCAACATAAACAATGTGTTATGTCATTGCATTTCACAAATAGTTACTACTCAAAGTCACAGCACATTAGACATGATTTTCAGTATCAGGCAAATACAAGAAAAATGTATCGAACAAAACGTGGATCTATTTAATGTCTGAACTGATCTGATAAAAGCATTTGATACAGCCTTTGATATGGATGATTTTCAGTAAACTTGGTTGTGCACCAAAACTGGTAAAGATCATTTGTTTATTTCACCAGGGACTGTAAAGTCAAGTACTTTTTAATGAAAATCTCACTGACTCCTTCCCCATTTCAAATGGAGTCAAACAAGCTGGCGTCCTTGCTTCTGTACTCTTCAACATCTTCTTCACCCAAGTCCTCAACCAAATGGGCTACATATGGGCTCAAGAGAATCACATATATCAGATACAGGCATGACAGCTCAGTCTTCAATCTTATAAGGATTAAAGCAAAAACAAAAGTAAAAGATCTACTAATAAGAGAAGCCCTCTTTGTGGATTATCGTGCTCTCCTAGCACACACAGAGCATTATGTATCACTTTGTGAAGCATCAAAACTATTTGGCCTTGCAATCGTCCTGGAGAAGGCAGTGGTGTTACATCAATTATCTCCACCCCTCTGACTCAATGCCCTAGCATAGACACTAATGGAATCCAACTAAAGCAAGTTGACAGTTTCACCTATCTCAACAGCAATATCTCCAACAATGGATCTCTCGACAAAGAGACCACAATCAAGATTCAGAAAGTGTCTCAATCATTAGGAAAGCTTCATAACAAAGTCCTGAAATCCCACAACTTAACCCCTTCAACAAAAATAGAATTCTATCATGCTTTTGAGCTGACACCTCTCCTCTGTAGCTGTGAGACGTAGCACCACACAAATGGCATATCAAACAGCTAGAGGCCTTTCATATGGGGATCTGACAGTAGAACAAAATTACCAGCCTGGAGGTTCTCCAAAAGTTAAATGCCATAAATATTGAGGCCATGCTAATGAAAGCCCAACTACTCCAGGCTGGATACATAATTAGGATGCCTGAACATCGATTCCCCAGAAATATTTTCTATGGAGAATTGGCACAAGGACTTTGGAATCAATGCTACCCCAGAAAGTGCTACAAGTGCAGTATTAAGAACAGCATACACTTTGGTGCAATAAAACCTGATGATCTTGACAAGGATGCATTAAATAGATCAGCACAGCAACACACAACACTCAGAGCTTTCCAAGCCTTTGAAGAGTACTGAAATATTCAATTGTTAGCTGACAGAGAAAAGCATCATGTTCCTGCTATAGCCACCAAGATGATCACCAATTACTTCAGAGTCACTCCAGAATCCACAAAAGAGATATAATGAAAATATTTTCATTGAACTGACGGACTAGACACACATGGATGCACTGTGCAATTTGGATGTAATTCTTTCTTATTATTACTAAATGCTTCTATTACCAGCTTCATATCAATAGCTCACAATCTACTTTCCACTGTTCACCTAGTTCTCTCCATCGACTTCTGCATCTCAGGGTATGTCTACACTGCAAAGTTAATTCAGAATAACAGCCATTATTCCGAATTAACTTCCATAGCATCTACACAAGCGTCTACACATAGCGTCAATTTAATTCGAAATAGTGGGGCGCTTAATTTGAGTTTGGTAAACCTCATTCTACAAGGAGTAACGCCAAACTCGAATTAACTGACTTGGAATAAACGCTGTATAGATGCTTAGTCCGAATTAGCTGGCCTCCAGCCTTCCCAGTTTCCCCTGGTGGCCATTCTGAGCCAAACCAGGAAAACTCTTCTCCCTCCCCCCAACCCCGGAGCCCTTAAAGGGGCAAACTCTGGCCACAGTGCCTGTGCCAGCTCCAAGCCTGCCGGCCCAGAGCCAACAGTCACTGCCCTGACCCAGTGGCCCCAAAACATGAGCCAGCAAGCCACTGACAGCCAGCCCTCCACTGTACCCCAGGAGCAGTCTGCCAGCTCCCAGTAGCCTGCCAGGGCCCAGAGAAGGTGGGCACCTTCCTGGTCCAGGGCGGAGATCAGAATGGACCGTACTCAGGTTTGGAAGGATGCCCCCAATGTCTATGATCTCTGCACTAGACAGAGGAATGCAGCTATGTATGGCAGGAAAGCTGCCAGCCTGGCCACCAAGGTCACATGCGAACCCAGGAGCAGGTTTCCATGAAAATCAAGTTGGTCCGATGAGACCCCAAACACCGAGCTTCTCCTCCCCATTCTTTCCCTTGCCTCCCCCTTCCAGCTCCCTCCTCCCAGGTTTCCCCCTCCCCTCTCCCATCCTCATTCCCACCCCAGTTTCAGTCAATAAAGAGAGTTTGTTTTTGGCAAGAAATATGTTTTTATTTGACATCAGAAAGGGGGGGTTAGAGAGGGATATGTGGAAGGAGGGAGGAATGAAGCACATTCCCCAGGGAGGCTCTTAGTGCTCCTTAGGGTGGAAGCTCTCCTGCAGGGCCTCCTGGATACTGACAGCCCCCCAATGGACCTCCGAGATGGCAGCCTGCAGAAAGTGCAGCCAGGCTCGCAGCAACACGTCCACGAGAAGCACCAGAGTCCCCAGGGACAGCTCCGGCTCCATGCTGCAGAGTGCTGTGGTGTCCCGAGTGAGGGCAACCAGAGCATGCAGAGACACAAATGCTTTGCTGTCCCTCATCGAGGCAGGCAAGCAAGCAGGGACACCTGAGAACCGGCTGCCCCGGAGTCAGGGGAAAGTGTCCCTTTAAGCACAGGCGTCAGATAGCCTCAAGCAGCAGCCACACACAGACACTCCTGACCTGATGCCCTGCCTGGCCTGGTTCTGGCTGCCCTTAAATCCGATTCTGTATCAGGTCAGTGTGTATGCAGTATTTCAAATTGGAAAAATGCTAATTTGAGCTGCATTTTGTGTGTAGACGCGTTAATTCGAATTAGCTTAATTCAAATTAACTATTTCAAATTAAGATAACTCGAATTAACGCTGTAGTGTAGACATACCTCAGTCTATCTCTCTGACATCCTCTCTACATCTTATCATCCACTTGAACAAGTAAAGCTGGACTTATCTTTCCACTGAACTCCTCCCATCCTTTACCACTATCAACAAATAGAGCAGAGGGTATCCGAGGGTATGTCTACACTACCCTCCTAGTTCGAACTAGGAGGGTAGTGTAGACATACCCCACTTGCTAATGAAGCCCGGGATTTGAATTTCCCGGGCTTCATTAGCATAAGCGGGGAGCCTCCATTTCTAAATCCCCGCTGCTTCAAACCCCGTGCAGCGCGGCTACACGGGGCTCGAACTAGGTAGTTCGGACTAGG